TTAGCACAGAGATCCCACCCGGCTACACCGCCGGACCCAGGAGGTACCACGCATCCCTTCCTTCACCTGAAGCTCCTTTCTGGGTCCCGGGTTCCAGCCTGAAGAGCTGCAGGCAGGGTGCTGCAGGAAGGGTGATGGAGCTGAAGCCTGTCCCTGCCTCGTGCCTGTCAGGGAGAAAGATGCTGAAGCGTCTGGTGTTGCCATGGGAGTGGGGATGGCAAGCGCCGGGAGCAGGAGTGACTAATAAGCATAGGAGCTGCCTTCCTGCACAGCTACTGCAAATTACGAAGGATTTTTTAGAAACCAACATCGAGACCTCCCGCACTCTGCATTTTGAGACAAATCAGTTTCATCTTCTTCTGGTCTCCCAGGTTTTCTTCCAGTGCCTCCTAAAACCCTGCAGTGCACACCATGTCTGTTCCTAACGCTGTGCTGCTTTCCTCTTCCACTGAGAGCAGAATTTTGTATGATGAGACGCAGAACAGGCTGAAACTTGGGGCACGTATTTACACACTCTTAGTATTAAAGCATGTTGTGTTGTGATGGGAGCACACAACAGATGGAGAATAAGTCTTATGAGGAAAGACTGAGGGAGCTGAGGGTGTTCAGCCTGGAGAAAAGGAGGCTGAGGGGAGACCTTCTCGCTCTCTACCTGAAAGGAGGGTGTAGAGAAGCAGGAACTGGTCTCTTCTCCCAAGTCCCAGGGGACAGGACAAGAGGAAATGGCCTCAAGTTGCGCCAGGGGAGGTTCAGATTGGATATTAGGAAAAATTTTGACACTGAAAGGGTTATGAAACATTGGAGTGGGTTGCCCAGGGAAGTGGTTGAGGCACCATCCCTGGAGGTTTTCAAAAGACGGGTTGACATAGTGCTTAGAGACATGGTTTAGTGATGTGGGGGGTTTATTTTGTATGGATTTCTTTTGGGGTTTTTTTGCTTCTTTTTTTTGAAAACAGAGTTAGGTTGATGGTTGAACTAGATGATCTTAAAGGTCCCTTCCAACCTAGACAATTCTATGATTCTATGAATACTATTACGCTATGACCACATACAACAGTTAATGTAGTACCCAGCAGGATGCCAATCAAGTTGTTTATATACCTATTTTCAAAGCAAAGAGAAGGGAGTGTGCTGGCAAAGTTCACACGTACCTGTTGTCTGTCATGTCCTGACCAAAGAGAATCCTGGCCACTCCCCAAGTTTCCACAAATAAAAGTTTACAACAGGAAAGGGGAGGGGGGAGGCGGGGGAACAGAAATGGGCTCTTACAGCTGTCAGAAAAGTCTAATAATTTACACTAGATGAGATGCAGGGAACAAATACAGATTAGTAGCACCTCTTGAGACATCCAGGAATTAAAATATATTCATTCATTTTCATCAAGGCTTCCCTCTATTGGAGAGTGATCTCCGTCTGATCCCCTCCTCGTACACAGAAACAGCAATAGAAACAATCCCAGCGAAATCCAGGGAGTTACACTATATTGCTGTAAACAAAAGGATAATCTGACCCCTCTATGGTTCTCATCCAGTTCTCTGTGCTGTTCTCCATTGTGAACAGAAATAAGCCTCTTCAATAGGTAAAATCTGGGAGGAGGAGAGGGACAGGATGGCCCGAGGGCAGCAGAAGTTGGTAGAAATATGTCACCAGGAGCTGAGCAAGCACACAGTAGGGGATACGAAGCACTGGAAAGATATTTTTTATCACTTGGGGGCTTAGGAAAAATCCTCAATTACTTATTGACATTGCTTCTATAATTATAAATAAACCCTTTGACTACACAAAACTCAAGTTCTTCTCACTGGGGAAGTCATTCAAACTACTTGGTATGTACACTCCCTCTTTGCAAACAAGCATGGTACGACACCACAGAACTGTCTCAAGACAGGGTAAAGCATTCTCTGATATTTCAAATTTACTTTTCATTTCCAATATACTTTCTCATCCCTATGCAATCCTAGGTGAGCCTTCTCACCAGAAAAATACTCCACAAAACTGTGAGGAAATAGGGTCTACTACAGACACACAACGAACTGAGAAAACTAACTTCTAGCCCTCTACAATAAACATGCAGAATCACAATCAAAAGACCAAAATTGAATTAGCTGAAGAAGCCCATAGCTCAAAGTCCAGACTCAAGACCTGGGTGTGAACCACAGTAAAAATCTGCCAATGAACGACCTTCATGAGAAGATCATCTGACAACATATGATGCTGAGAAAGAAAGCGCTGCAGTCAAACAGATTGTATCAACTTTCCTATGACTCACGGTAAGTTTGTCCTCAACAGACAGAGAGAACTCAAGAAATACTGAAAAACAGCAGAGACATGAGAATAATGATACCACTCTCTTCCTAAAAGAAAATGCAGAACAGTTGCATCTAGTATTAATCAAATCCAGTAACCTCCTCAGGGCAAAGTAAGTACCAAATCAGTTAAAAGATACAACTATATGCTCAGTTTCAGGCGAGCTGTACTCCACCCTGGCCATCTCTCTAGTTCTCATCCCATCTCTGGTCTCTCAAAAGACTTTGGGAAGCATTAACCATGGAGTTTCTACCACATCAGCCTACTTCAAATGCTTTCTTTACAAGCCTGTGTCAAAGAAAAGTAAGGACACAAACCCAGAGGTCACACACACTCTGTCAAACAAGAAGATGGTTGGCAATACTGGAGTTCCAACCATTTCTTGCTTTCAACAGAAAGACAGTGATAGGAATTCACCCTCCTCTTGCAGAGCTGCCACAGAGCCGTGGTGAGGAGTGATAGAGGAGATGGACCACTGGCGTTGAATAGACAGAGAGAAGAAAAGATGGAAAATGAGACTTGAAGAAAAGAAGAGGATGCATGTGGCAGAGGGCTGAGTGAAGAAGTTAAGAGAACGCAAGAGTGAGGTGAACAGAAAAGCCACATTCAGCAAATTTTTATCAGGACAACAGAAAACTGATACTGAACAATATATTCCCCTGGGAAACGTAACTTTCCAAGTTGATTGTGCTCAAGGTCATGGGAGTGTAACATTTTCCAGGAATACTTTCACTAGCAATCTTCATGGTGCCACAGGGGTGACAAAAAGAATAGTATGATAATATAACTTTTGATACTTCTCTTTCACTCGCTGTATTGACAAGCAGATTACATTAGGCAACAGAGAAGATGCTGAAGCTACTGTAGACTAGAATAATATTCTGTTCTCATTTGCACAGATACAAATCAGGAGAGAAATTAGATAAGGAGATAAGCTAGTCAGGGTATCCATTTCCGTATGTGCTTATTTGTGTGTAATATATGCCATGTCCTTCTCTCCCAATTTACTATTTTTAGTTTGAACTGAGCACGGTCTCTCGCCTAGAACCCCAGTGAATCATATCTCCTTGTGCCTCCGGAGACAAATACATCTAAATACATGTTAGAAGATCGCTTCTTTCCGCCAACTCTGGGGAAGAGCACAGAAGTCTTTTATCAGTTAATGAGCAAACCCCATTGTTAAGAGAACTGTGCAGAGCAACATCAAGCTCATGACTAGATTCGTTCTCTATTTCAATGACTTTGTCAGCAGCAGAATCTCGTAACTCAAGCGAGGGATTCTCACCCAGCTGGGGCTGGCCGTTGTGTTTGAATGTGCTTATCTGGACACTGAACAAGTGTTTGTTTTCTGGGACAACCACTTATGGAGCATCCAGATTCTAAAGTACAAACATATTGGCTAAACTGAATTAAAGGCAGTCAGTCACCCCAAATTAAACACTCAAGTGAAGATATTTCCAAATACAGCAGCAGCAATCAAGTATCACACAATGGGGTAGCCTCATGTTTAAAACATAGGACTGCAAGCTATTAGATCTTAGTTTTCCTTCCTACTTCTGCTGCTTGTCTTTTCCTCTTGATCTTGAGTAAATTATTTATTGTCAAGACTTACATTTCCCCAGATTCAAAAAAAGGCAGTTAGACTCTCTGGCTTTAAAGAGCAGTGTTGCAATAATTAATTTATTATTCTTTGCAGAGCACTCTAAAATTATGAGATGCTGCTGCAGAAATGCATTTTATTAGTGGTATTATATTCCACTAGCAACTTCCAAAAGAACTCTATCTTGCATGGATTTATTGTATTCTAAATTAAAGACAGTGAGTTCAAGACCTTGAATCTTGAACCAGTACCTTTTCATAGTGGTGTAAAATGAAGGAAGGAAAATAATTCACGTGTAGTCATAACACAGCTTCTCTTTGCACTGTTCTACTCCCATAATTTCTTTCAGTACTATATTATATGCACATTAACCATAATGACAGCAAGCATGTAGAAGGAAAGACCATTCCAATAAACTCAACGGTGAATGGTAGATGGCTATTGTAAATTCTGCAAATGAAACTTATGGGCTAGCTTAGGCCCCACTGTAAATGGTGATGTGGCCAATATCACATGCTTTATTAGAAAAACAGTAAAGAAGAAATTTTTAACTGACTTTTTCAAAGGTCAGTAAGTTTTGGACTCAATGGTTGGAAAAAATGGCCTACTTTTAAATTATGTTTATATAAGGCTGAGAGGTCTCTCTGACACTCAATCAACTGGATCCATTTGCTCATGGTGAAGGCAAACATAACCCTATCTATCACTTGAACTGCTTTTGCTGCAAGTGCAGACTGAACAGATGTATACAGATATGATCAGTCAGATGTTTACTAATCCAGTCTGTATTTCTACCCAAATGTTCATTTTGAGCATCAAATGCTCATTTTCAAGACAGCTGTATCAACATATTAGGGGTACATTTACAGATTCCTGTCTCAAACAACTAATTCTGAATCAGACTGGTGTGACTAGGGGTGAAAAGTGCTGATAAGTAACTTGGTACATTATCATATTTGCCTAATGAGAATGACAAGATGAATTAAATTTTTGTTATCTGTTGGAGCACCAGTTTTGAGGGAAACTGTTCTTACAAAGTGTATTCTGTAGAATATAGACACAATACAATTAATACCTCTAAAAGCCCCATTACCTGTTGGTCATCTGGAGTCCATATGCCACAGGTGATCTGACTCTCCAAGTTGATTTCTGAAGACCAGTGTCTTTGTCCACTGACTGAACCGACCAGCACAAATCCATCTCTATAGGAGATAAGCGCTTGAGTCCCATCATGGCTCCATGTAAAGTCGCTTACCTTAACATATCAAAGACAAGAAAATAGATGTATTAGTGCTTAGAGACATAGTTTAGTAAGGGGGGGGGGGGTGTATGGTTTTGGTTTTTTTATCAGTTAGGTTGATGGTTGGACTAGATGATCTTAAAGGTCCTTTCCAACCTAGATGATTCTACGATTCAATCTATTGGATATTTAGGAATTTTTTTGTTGTTTTAATAAAAGCTAGCACTGCACAGAACTAGACAGGGCAACCATTAGCCCAGTTGTAGCTCTGATGTCATGGCCATTGGATACAGCAACTGTCCTTCCAAAGTGTCTTCGTGACAATTATTGCACATTCATTTCAATAAAGGTAGGTTTCATTTTCTCCTGTGCTTTTCGAAAGGTATGAAGTACCATTCATTGTACTCTTCATTTTGCTTTTCAGGACCTGATGACTCTTGACTGCAGAGCAAATACGGATACCAACCTGTGCCCCCCGATCATTCACAAGCTCCACGGACCATCTGCCTTCGTATTGTATCCAAACAAATATTCCTCCATCTGCATCGCAGGTTGCTAATTTCTGGAATGGTTCGTTCCATCTCACCAGCACAACCTTGAAAGATTAAGAAACAAAACCAGCATTACCCAAACTGCGTGTTGTGCTAACTATTTAACAAGAACCAGTTAAACAATACTGCAAAATAAACATCACCTCATTTAAATCCCAAAGAAGATGTACAAAATAGTAATTTTCGGCAGCGCGCGAGGCGCCTCTCGAGAACAGCTGGAATCGTTTTGTAACGGCTGTCAGGAAATTCACAATCTCTCACCGTCAGGCCTTTTTGGAAGGCATCGCAGGCTTTCAACAAAAACATAACGTACACTGGATTCCATTACAGAAGCAGCAAACAGGAGGCCCTGTACAGACCATCCAACGCTCTTTCAAATGATTTTCCCCCCTCCCCGTAATCTCAGACTTGATGTCAAATCATCACCTCTTGCTGACTTGAAATGAAATTGCCTGCACTGGGATCGGATTGAATTTGGATACTCAGATCAACAGTGACACCTAAAAAAATTCAGGAGTCCCAAATTATTAAAAAATAGAAATTTCATAGAAAAGTTGCTTTGTTGTTGAGTGCAGAAGGAATACAAAGCAGTTTTAGGCTCTTCTCTCCACATGAGAGCTATCTGGGCTTTTCTGGAGAATATAATCAAGTCTAAACCTAACAAATTGCTCTCTAATTTCTAATTAATATCAATTTGACAAATACAGTATCTCTTGAGACCTCAGTATAGATCTGACAAAAGCACGTCATCCTAGTGCTTAAAGCAGAAATTAGCTGTAAAACCGTTCACCTTCCATTAGTGACTTTTTATTGAAAACTTTTTTTCTAAATTAAGTGTTCAAAACCACACAGATCTATACAGGATGCTCACATTCACACACAAGACTCCTCTCTGTTACTTTATAGAGACACACCACATGCAAACAAAGAACGCATATATTAAATAGTCAAGCAGTAGGGTGTTATTTTAACTACTTAATGGGCATCCGGCTCTAATGATGCTTTTCAATAAATCTAATCTTTTTTCCATAAACGTAAAATAATTAACCATTTCAAAGAGACATAAGGAGAAGATTTTCCCAAAACGCATTTTGCTGTTTACAGAGATGGAACGATGCTCCTAAAGATTCCAGTCCTCAAATGAGCTCTGAGTAGACAGACCCATCACACTCCACAACAAAATCAGCAGTCATTTCCAGAATTAGAATACAAATAAGCATATCTGAAACCTAAACTTGACAGCTGAAAAAAAGATGACCTCATACCTATTTAGCGAGTGTGACACTTATTCACAGAGTGTCAAGGGTGAGAACTTCAGAACGTGTACATCAGTGGAGCTCGCCAGCCTGAAGCATCAACCCTTAGATGATTAAACAGCTAAAAGTATTTCTTCGTACATACGTGAAGATTATGGAGAGAAGTGAGTACGACAAACCACCGCTCTGTTGTTAAGCACCTAAGCAGATATCCCACTTGAGATTCTGCAGAAAAACACTTGTTTCTGCTGGATTTTAACCTTGCAGCTGCACTCCAGGTCACAAATCCTGTCTCCAGTTGGGTGGATTAGGGCTACAAAGACGATTAGGGGACTGGAACATCTCTCTTATGAGGAAAGGCTGAGGGACTTGGGTCTTTCTAGTCTGGAGAAGACTGAGGGGGGATCTGATCAACACCTATAAATACTTAAAGGGTGGGTGTCAGGAAGATGAGGCCAGTCTTTTTTCAGTGGTGCCCAGTGACAGGACAAGAGGAAATGGGCACAAACTTGAATATAAGAAATTCCATCTAAGCATGAGGAGGAACTTCTTTACTTTGAGGGTGGCAGAGCCCTGGAACAGGCTGTCCAGGGAGGTGGTGGAATCTCCCTCTCTGGAGACATTCAAACCCTGCCTGGACAAGTTGCTGTGCAACCTGCTCTAGTTGGACCTGCTTTGGCAGGGGGGTTGGACTAGATGATCTCCAGAGGTCCCTTCCAACCCCAGAGCATTCTGTGATTTTATCATGGCATTAGGGGGATTTTATCACACATGGCTTTTTATTATTTTTTTCGTTGTTCTTTTTTGAAGAGAAATAAATAAAATATTCCAACACAGTAGCAAAAGCAGCTGCACTCTGCTAGAGGTCTCACTCTGTCTCTTACATCTAAACAAGAAGAGCACAGATTTGTCAAAATTTCATTTTCTCTTTGGTGTAACCCCCATGCACACAGCTCTTGTTTCATCCACCCTGAGGCAAAAACTTGCTGGTAATGCCCAAGAGTATTATAAAAGAAGTGAAGAAAACACAATATATAACACAAGGATAAGACTGAAGATAACCTTCATCTTTGAAGACTGGGAGCTGCTAAGGCTAACAATGACTAGCAATAGAGTGGAAGGTACTTAACACCACTGAAAATCAGCTGTTTAATGCTTAGACACTGCCCATTTTGGACATCTCAGATCATACAGAATAAAGTGCTACAGAAAATACAGGAACAAAAGATAAAACTTACAGTTCAAATAACATGTTTTTTAACTAACACCATCAAAGGTGCTACCATTTCTTAAAATTGCCTTGTTTTGCCTGGCAAAGATTTGAGACAAGCATATGATTTTATAGATTAGACATACCGGCTGACTTAATGGTCTGAATTATGGGCAAAGTGACAACAGTTACCTTGATGTGTTTTGTCTCTTCTGTTTTAAATAGGAATCTGGTTAAAATTTGAATATATCTTTTGATTCAAATTCTGTACAACCTGTCTTTTCTTTGGATTTGATAAAACATCCAAGAATATATTTGAACCTAAACAAGATCAACCAGAGCCTCCCTCGCTCCCTCCATCCCAATCACATACAAATTAGTAACTTCCAAAATAAACTTACTGCTCTGCAGTCACAAATGAAAGTGAGACAATGATTCTATATGCTTTCTGATAACATGCTCATAAGGGAGCAAATTTGTAATTTGAAAATTCAACTTCTTTAAACACAGAATGAGTGTTATCATTTTATGAGGTCATTTAAAGATGCTTCCATCATTTACATTTAACATCCGACTACAGGTGCTGAGTCCACAGCTGCTTTGAGTATTTCCAATTTCATTTTATTTTCCATAACATACTGAAGCAGAGATAAAGAAAGGAAGAAGGATTGCCCTAAGTATTAAGATGACTTTGGGCTTTTATGTTGCCTAAATGTAAAGCATATGAAAACATGCCCCATTGACAGTGCATTTAAATAACGCATAAGCTTGAATTACCCCTTTGCAAAGAGGAATTTTATTGCTAACCCATAAACGCAAAGATATCATTACTTTCACTAACAGCTTCCACTCAGAGGGGACCCATTTTGACTTCTGCCTTTATGGTTCTTTGCTTCCTACTCAGCATCTTCACACAGGTACTGAAGGACTAAACTGCATTATCTTGTACTGAAAGAACAAAAAAGTTGGTGTGCCAAAGTCTGTGACTATTTGTGGTCTACACCGTCTTCGTATATTGCCTAATTATTTTGGTTTCTTTGTTAATTGTGTTTTGTTTTTAAAATATCTATAAAAATTGCAAATTGTGCTTGTTCTACTCTAGAAAAATTCTGTATCACAGGCATTAATCAGCTTCTAAACTGCTACCTCATATAGGAAATGATCTCCCATGAATAAAACTTCAAGGAACTCCTGGTCTAATATATTAACTACAATGCAAAGGCCAATATATTGTCCCCAGAGCTTTTGAATCAGGGTCTTATGTTTTCTTCAAGTTCCTTTTTATACAATACAGAGTGGTGAAAAATTTGTTTCAGAAGTGGAACATTCAGGATCTTCAATAGCTCTGTTTTAATTGCCAACATAATTTTCAGGAATTAAATTTAATAAATCATAAAGGTGCTAGAAACTCTCTCCAAGAACTGACTGTGTACTATAATGCTACACACACAGTAGAACCAACAAAAAATTAAAACATTTAAAAATTCTTTTCATCATGAATTAAGGATATGTGAGGATTTGTTATCCTCAACTTTAAAAAACTTGTCTATGTATAAAATTAAAAAGGAAAATATTGTTAACTTGGGAGATAAACCCGTGCATTCACTTCCAGTTCTATGGACTAATCAAGAAATGAAATAATTGATAACATTTCTCAATTAAAAATATTCTGCAAACAGAAATTATAGTTTATGAACCTCAGCTACTTCACTGAACTTTTCTTCTTCACAGATGCTCCATTTAGAAAAAGCCTTGTCTTGTGGCAAAGGAAACATCTGTATTACTCTAATTGAATAAACAACAGACAATCATTTACTTATTTAAGATCACTAAATTATGCTTTAAATTTTTCATTTTCATTCACTCTAATGCTTTTTGGTCCACTACTGCAAATAAGAAAACAAAGTCCAGTCTCTGACTCAGAAGATCATCAAGTTTCTTAGCAAGACGCTGCCACAGAAAGACCACCATGCAGCCAGCAATGTTATTTTTTATTAAAATCTTAGACAAGAAATTTGGAGTAACTGCAATTTCTGCAGTAGCAAGTATGTAATCTGTATTAAATGTGACCTCTTCCCAACAGAAGCCTGGTTTGGTGATTTAAATTCAATACGTGCTATTGATATTTTTATTGATTTTTTCACACTTTCTAGCACAACACAAATTCTAAAATCTAAAGCATTCTGAGAGCTTTTGTTATTTCTAATTTCATTACAGTTTTTGAAGGTGATGACTGAAAATATGATGCCAGTCAATCTTCCAAGAGCAGAAGTCCTTAATCTAGAAAACCATACAACAGTCATCACTTAAATCTCATCTCTGCAGTCCCTAAAACCTACGGTACATAATTGCTATAGAGGCAAGGGACAAATATTTAGAAAAATAAATAGGTAAATAGCTAGGGCCGTTAGTTCCTAGAGTTCCTTACCAAATTTAAATAGATTTTACTACTGAAAAGAAACAGCACAACACTGTAGTGAGTCACAGTGAGTCATGGAGAGCTCTAAAGATAGGAGTCTTCTCCAGCATTCATTTTCATGCACGCTGTGGAGATCTGCTTGCGGATGGACTATGGTAG